AAGGGGAGCAGAGGCAGCGCCCCCGGGAAGCCGGGGGGGGGGCTGGCCCGACGAACCCATACGTTCGGTCGGTCAGCGAGTCAGTGGACCTTCTCTGCAGAGCTCCTCTGCGCCAGGCCCATGCTGGGGGCTGAGGACTCAGAGCAGAGAGGCCTGTCTTCAAGGGCCCCCGGAGGAAACAAGGCCAGTGTGTCAGCAGCAGCGTCTTCTTTGTGAGCCTTAGACAGGCCACCGAGACCCTTTCTCCTTGGAGTCCAAAATGACAAACGTGGACAATGCCTGCCTTCCTCAGGCTCCATGTTGTAACCAAGCATGATGTGTAGAGGGGAGGAGAAAGAAGGAGTGGTATCAGGCTGGTTGCCATGACAATATCTTCGTTTCTCCAGCCTCGCCCCCATCATGCAAGCCCCCACCCCCACCCTGTGCCAGGCATCAGGATCTGACCCTGAGGCTCCTCCGAGGAGAGAGCAGACCCCACCAGCCAGTTCAGGGTGGAGCACCCAACTGACAACTGGTGGTCCAGATGCCAGCCAGGCACCCCTGGGCTGTGTGAGCTGTTCACATCTGGAATGTTCAGGCTTCTTAGGCCTCCTAGCGGTCACCGTCCTGACCTAGTTTGATCTCCCTAAGGGCCCTTCCAGAGGCCCCCATGTCCTGGCAGCTGGGCCAGAATCCCCCACTGCAGACTCCCGTGGCTATGGCTCCGAGCATGAAGCTCAGACTTCCTGGTTCGAATCTCTGTTCTGCCTCTGGCTCGGGAAAGTTATTTAACCTGTGCCTCAATTTCCTGGTCTGTGAAATAGGAGTGATATTACTGAGTCCCTACTACCTATCAGGCACTGTGCTAAATAAATGCTTAACCAGGTGAATTTCTTAGATAGTGAGTGAAGTGCCACATGATAGGATCCTGAGCGGTGTTAAGCACTAGTAATATGATGTGTCCACTGTATGAATGGGAAACAGGCCTAGGAAAGAATAAGGCATTACCGAGTCTCAGTACCAGAGCTGGGACCTAGCTCTCTCTTTGGGTCATCCACAGAGGTTTGGGTTTAGGACAGTATTCGAAGGAGGGTACGCCTGAGACTGAGTCTGCACTTGAACCAGCTCGCCAGCCTGGAATCGTCTCTGGACCTGGTGGCTGTGAGCCCCCTGGTGCCGGAATGCGTAGATCGGTGCACAGCGCAGTTCATGAATGAGTACACGGATGAATGAATGAGTGACCAGGGCAAGGTGGGGAGAGGTGGGTGGCAGCCAGTGCCTGGGAGCCAGGGCCCTGGGGGAGTGAGACTCAGAGGCAGCTGGAGAGATTTCAGTCATTCATGAGAACTTCCTGCTGTGGAATCAGATGAGTGTGAATGAAAGGTTGAGAAAATAAAAAGAAAGAAAGAAAAAAAAAGAACCTCAAAAGGTCTCCAGTCTTCACATCCATCCCAGCAAGCTCCTGCCTCTGAGAAGGGGAACCCTGGGAAGATCTGTCTCCCCTAGGAACCTTGCCTTAGCATGTTTCTCCAGTGACTGTTCCTCAATGCATCTCCATCCCAGTGCCTTGCTTAGCCTACAGGTGAAGTCCCCATGGCCACTTTTCCTGCACACTTGGGAGGTCATACACGAGGTGGCACAGCCTCGTCCTACACAGCAGCTCTGCCAGGCAACGTCTCGTTACCCCGCGCAAACGCCCTCTCCCTAGTTCCCCTGCCCTTCTCTGCTCTCACCTCCTACATAGCTTCAAACCCACATTCTTTCATCCTTCCATCCCAACCACACTCTCCATGATGGGCCCCTCGCCTACCTGCCCACCCGTCTGTCCTCCACGCAGCTGCCAGAGCCACCTTTGTACCATCAGGTCTGGTCTCTCCAGTGCTTACAATCCTTCTGGGGCTCCGGGTATCCACCTTGGGGCTTCCCAACTCTTCCCCTTGGGGAGTATCTGAGGTTGCCCAGGCTGGAAATGAGAGGCTCAGAGGGCTCCAGCTGCCCGGGCCAGCTGGGCCAGCTTGTGTGCTGATGAGAAGAGTCCCTACACACATGGCTCCCACAAACGACCCTGGGCAGCTGGGGCTCACTGGGCAAGCTCTCATCCGTGAGGAACAAGAGCAAAGGCCAGGCTTCGTGGCATAACTTTGCTCTTGCCAGGTGCCCAAGGGGGCGCCACTTTGTAAAGGGTCCTTGGCAGAGGCCTGCAGGCCATGGAAGGAGTGTGAAGGCAGGCTGCTGTGGTCAGACACAATGCCAGCACACAACAATGCCAGCACACACAGGCGGCCTGGAAGGTTTCCTGCAGTTGGTGTGTAGGTTTGGGGAGATGCTCTCTGGGTCCCTCCCTCTTTTGTTCTCTGCTTTCTTCCCCAGCCACAGCCTCGACCCAGGCTCAGGCAACTGTGCAGAGACAGCCTGGGTCCAGGCAACTGCCTGGTTCCTCAAACCATCTTGAGTCAGCCAGAGAGTCAGATGTCCTGGACTGCAGCATCTCCACGTCTCCATCCCTGCTGCATATGGGCCCTTGGGCTCCTCATGCGCCTTCTCAGGCCCAGGGCCTGGACCAGCTGCCTGTCCAGCGAGGATCCTGAAGGCACTTCTCCCCTGTCTCGTCTCCCCACTCTAGGTGTTCTATACCAACTGCAGCTGCGTGGCAGGAGGCGGCCCTGTGCTGGCAGGCTCCTGTGACTCGGCCTGTGGCCACCTGGTGCTGCCCTTCCTGTTCCTGGTCAGCCTGGGTGCTGCACTGTCCAGTGTCACCCATACGCCTGCCTTCATGCTCATCCTAAGGTGAAAGCAAGGGCGGGCAGGAGCAGGCTGATACCAAGAGGTTCCTAACCACGGGCAAGACAAAGGTTCTGAGAGAGGAGTTCAAGGAAGGAAGTCACTCTGGTGTCCCGGACCCCCGTGACAGAACAGGCTCTCCTCATCCTGTCTCCAACCCATAGCAACCTGCTGAGATGGGGTTTCCTCCCTCCTTGCAGATAAAACTGAGGCTCAGGGAAGTTCAGAAGCTGGCCTCAGCCATGCAGCCAGTGCTAGGTGGGATAATAAGATCCCAGCTCTGCTTACCCCTGGTGAGGGGGACACGCTGGAGGCCCTAAATGCTAGCCTCCCAAAGGGAGGGCATCATACAGGAAGGGGGCAGTGGACTCCCCACCCCACCCGCGTTGTATGAGAGGCAGTAGGTGAGTCTAGAACAGTCGAGGCCAATGTTCTGAGTGCTGCTTCAAGGTGACGAGCACTTATTAAGTGCCCCACACCATGCCGAGCACTCTCTGTCCCCTGTCCTGCGAGGGCCTGACAAACTGGCACCTGAGTCCGGGGTCCCCTGGGGCGGGGCTGGGCTAAGGGGATCTCAGAGCAAGGTAATTCCCATCTTTCATTCTGCTGGGATTATCTTATTTACTGTCTACTCTATAAAAACTTGGAAGGGGGCAGAGCTGAGGAAAGATGAGAAGACCTGTAGACCTGTGAAAGCACTGGGAAGGAAGGAGAGGAGCCAGATGCCTCTGCAGGCAGCCTGATTAGGAGCAGAGAACACAGGCTTTGGGCTGCATGAATCCCGGCACTGCCCACCTGGGCCATGGGACCTTGGCCAAGTTATTCACCTGTCTGATGTCAAGCTCTTCCTCTGCAAAAAGGCCCTAATGGTGTACCAATGTGGGGGCTGCAGCATGGACCCACTGGGCCTGCAAGCTGCTCCCCATGACTGCTGTCATTTTAGAGAAGAGGAGGATCCGGGCTGTACAGTAGCTAGGGAGGCTGGTCCGTGGGAGGAACCAGGGAGCAGGTGAACAGGAATGGTGGCTGTGGCCAGAGACACAGGGAGGTCAGCACAGGACCCTGATGATCAGTGGGTGTGCCCAGTACAAGGGGGACCGAGCTCTGCAGGCTGCAGGGAGGTGGGGTATGAGCAGAGGGCATGGTGAGGCCTCCCCACACCGCCCTCACGCCAACTCTGCTTGGTAGGGGAGTGAAGAAAGAAGACAAGACTTTGGCGGTGGGAATCCAGTTTATGCTCCTGAGAGTTTTGGGTAAGAACCTGCTTGGGCACACCCGTGGTGTTGATGGGGGTCCAGATGCCCAAGGGCATGGGCGTGAGGGGGGTCCAGTCACTGATCTCAGGGCACATAAGCCCAGGGGCGACAGACCCAACCCAGGGATCCTGGCAGCCCCCCAGGAGTCCACCTCTAGCAAGAGTCAGAAGTAGCCTGGAGGCCAAGACTCCCATGGCCCAGACCCCCCGAGGGGTTGTGTGTGCCAGGAGGTGGAGCTTCCATTGTCCCCTGAACATCTCCCTCCTCAGCCTGGATGCCCAGCCCTGTGCTCCACGGCAGCGCCATTGACACCACGTGTGTGTACTGGGACCTGAACTGCGGGCGCCGAGCTGTCTGCCGTTACTACAACCACGACCTGCTCCGGAGCCGGTGAGAGCGGGGACTATGGGGAGGATGCTGGGATCCTCTCAGGATGCCAGGCAGGACACCAGCAGGGATGGGATCCCACCTAAGTCACCTGCTAGCTGACAGCACCACACCCAGGTCTGAACTCACCAGTCCTCAGCTAGGCATTGCCCCCTTGCAGATGAAGAAAGAGGTAAAGTAAGTAGCCCAAGCTGCCACGCTGGGCCTTGGGTCTGAGCTGTCTGATGGCAGGGTCTGCACAGGAACTGGGGAGATGCAGAGGAGTAGCCAGGCTGGGAGAGACTCGGGCAAGACGGGAAAGCCTTCTAGGACACGCCCAGCTCCAGGCCCAGCTCTGTCTCCCTCTTTGTGGGACTTACCTTCTCTGAGGCTCAGTCTTCCCACCTGTACAATGGGGGGCTCAAGAGAACCTGAAGGCACAGGAGCTGCTGGGGTAGGTGTAGGGAGCACTGGGGACAGGGGACCAGCCACTCCCAGCTCTCTGGTGGGCACAGAAGGCAGGAAGTCCTTTATCTCTCATGGTATCAGGCCATCCCAAATTGTACTTGTCAGTCCTTTGAGCCTCAGAGATGCCCAGGGAGGCAGGACCATCCCAGACCACACAAAGTCAAGAACAGCGTCAGAGGGACCCCCAGCTTCTGACCCATCTAGGGCTCCTTAACGAAGCCTCCCCTCCTTCCTTTGGGAAAGGGCCCAGAGGGGGTCAGTGTCTCCCCGAGGCTGCAATGCCTCCAACTGCGCAAGGAGCGAGGCCTGCTGACTCCACTCTGCCCGAGCCCCCGGACCTCCAGGGCCCTGGGTCAGAAGCCCCAGAGTTCAGCTCCCTCTTCTCACCCCAGGTTCATTGGCCTCCAGTTCTTCTTTAAGATGGGCTCCTTGATCTGCTTTGCCTTGGTGTTGGCGGTCCTGAGGCAGCAGGACAAGGAGGCGGAGTCCAAGGCACCTCGCTCCAGCCCTGGCCTGGAGCAGCAGCTGTTAGTAGCGGAACCAGAGAAGAAGCTGGAGAACTCCCGAGTATGAGCTCCTGGGACCCCATACTGGCCAGAAGGCAGCTGCAGCAGCCCCTCCTTTGCCCAGGGTCTGAAGTCAGGAGCCCTGTGTTCCAGTGCTGGCTCCTCTGCTAAATTGCTGAGTGACTTTGGGCAAGCCATTGACCTTCTCCGGGCCTCCATGTGCTCATCTGAACCGAGGAGTTATTACAGAGTCTGCTGTATTGGCTTCTTCTGCAGCAAGAGGGTCTTCCCTCTTCCTCCCCACGCCAGGCAGCTGACCTGCAGCCAGGCTTTTCTGGGTAGAAACACTGCATGTTGTCCCCCTAGTCTCGTGGACAGAAGTGGACCAAAGTAGGCCAGGCCCCTCCACACCAGGCCCCAGCCCAGCTCTGCTCCTCACCTGGAGCACCCTCTCTGAGCGTCAGCCACCACCCATCAGGTGTGGACCTGCTAGCTTTCAGCTCATTCAGTTCTGGTCATCTGTGTGGTCAGGATAGGTTGTCTCCTCCTCAACCTCAGGCAGCCCTCAAGAAGTGTTTATTTGGCGCCCCCTGGAGGCAGAGCTCTTGCCGGACTCCAAGGGGAGATGGAGGACAGAGCAGGCCTCACATTCAGGCCTCGCAGGGCCTTTAGGAGGCCTTGCTAGGGAAGGCCTCAATCGCCAACTCAGGAAGTCCCAGCCCCTGCCCTCAGGGAGCCACGGTCAGGAGTCAAGGCCTAGCCCCTGTCTATGTCCCTGGGATGGGAAGGGAGACCCCACACACTTGGGTATCTTCTAACTTCAGAGACCAAACACTCTCGGCACGCACTTGCACCTATCTATGCTTTGCCAAGAATTTGCACTTGACCGGAAGCCACCGAAGTTACTGTGATAGAACCTGATTTCCCCATTTCCTCCGGAGTGCCCATGTCACCCTGGACTACGGGGATCATATCTGCTTTTGTGATATCCAAGTTTTGGGGGTGCCCTTGGTTCTGTGTGGTCCTTACACTGTGAGCAGTGTCAGGTCTGGGCTATTAGGCTGGGAGCAGTAATGCCCAGCTCGCGGTGTGAGTTATTCTGCCTGCTCAGGTCTGAACGGGCCGCTGTGTTCCAGCTGGTCTTACCTAGCCTGGTTACTTCCCTGGGAGGAGAAGGGGTGTTTTCTGAGTTGTTCCCAGCCCAGTTGTACCAACACACACACCACCTGTCTGGGACCTGCTGCTCTGGAAAGAGCAGATGGGGATGTGGCCCCAGCCCTGTGTGCCCAGCCCTGGGAGACATTAGAGGGAGGGCAGGCAAGGCCCTCTGAGCAGTGTCAGAGCCAGGGCTTTGAGGCTTTCCCATTTGAAAGAAGAAGAGGGAGGAACAGAAACAAAAATGCCTTACATTCTACTGGTCAATACCTATAACTGTAACAAATATCTGAGCCCGTGTTTGTCTATTCCAGGAATGTCCAAGTCTCTTCCAACGAGATGAGGCTGTTAGGATGTGTATGCTCCTTCCCTCCTGTCTCCCAGGTTTTTTCAGAAATAATCTGGAATTATAGATACAGCTTATTATTAAATTTGTTCTTGCATAATGTCTCCTCTATTACAAAAAGTTCTTTCTTATAAACTGCATTAGAGGTTTGCAACAACCACATTATTTCCAGTTACTGAGATTTAAGTGGCTCGCCATATTTCTCGTATAGTACGTCTTTCCTGAGCTTTATATTCTGGTCTAGTTTTCGTTTGGCTAGGTTACTTCCTCTAGTAATGGTTTCAAAATGGAATAAGGCCATGGGGATTTCTGAGTCCTCACCTGTCCAAATTGTCCTTTGCATTTTACAGAAAAGGTCTGAAAATATCAATTATTGGAACCAGCAGTTAGTGTAATGGCTATGTCGCTGGACTCCCACGTAGTCGACCGCAGTTCGCATTCCGGACCTGGTGGCTTAAAACTCACGCTGGGCGCGTGTGCGTGCGTGCCCAAGATCCCGAGAGGAGAATGAAGGAGAAGGGATTGCGGCGTGGCCATCCCCCCTGGGGGGGTGATTTCTCATTTTCTGTCTCTCTGTCTCTCTCTGTCTATCTGGTGAGCGCACGCACCGTATAGCAAAAACCTCTCAAAGAAAAAAATCAATTATTTGCCTAAGATCACACAACAAATAAATAGTAGGGCCAAGGGTGGGTCTCAATCTTGTGGGAAGCTTATACAATTTGGGGAGCCCTCTTAAAGGAAAAGAATACAAAATGATTGAATACGAAATTGGGTAAGAAAGTAAATATTTACCTGTAATGAGAAAAGAAATCAAAACAAATCCATCACACCATCCAGAAAGATAGCAGAGTACTTTATTTATTGAGAGATTTTTGCTCCAGGGCATGTGCACTCGCCAGAGAGACAGAGAGAAACAGAGAGACAGGAAGCCAGAAATCACTCCCCTGGAGGGGGAAGGTAGGAGATGGCCATGCTGCAATCCCTTCTTTTCCATTCTTTCTTTCAGGATTTTGGGCACACATGCACATGTGCCTGGCATGAGTTTCCCATCAGGTCCAGGACTTGAACCACTGTCGGCTATGTGGGAGTCTAGCACCTTAACCATTATGCCACCTGCTGGCCCCGCACAGTACTTTATGAACTAACTTCCTTGCATACCTCTAAACATATCTTTTTTTTTTTTTTTCAGTTTTTGTCATAGGGCATGTGCAGTAGCCACAAAGAGGGAAAGTGAGAAATCCCCCTCCAGGAACAGGGGTCAATGGCCACACCATAATCCCTTCTCTTCTATCCTCCTCTCTGGATTTGGGGCACTCTCACACATGTGCCTGGCATGTTTTTCAAGTCACCAAGTCCAGAACTTGAACTGTGCAGTCGGCCATGTAGGATCCAGTGCCTTAACCACAACACTGGCCTCAAACAACAATTTTCTAAAATAAAACATTTTCCCTTATCATTAGAAGAATTTCCCACAGAGTAGCTTGTGTGCATTTTGAACCTGTCTCTCCTATTGCTCCTCTGCTGCCCATAGACTGCCAGGGCCGGGTGGCATTGAACACCTTTACATCATACATGATATCCGTGTAAGACACCTTAGTGTCACGATGCCGACTGGCCGGACAATGAGTAGGAATTTCCTAGAAGCCGTTCTCTACAGAGATGGCTGGTGATGCTTTACCTATACACAGAGGCAACTGCGGACTACATAAATATACCCCAACGAGCCTACATCGAATCCGTCCCCCAGCTCAGCTGCCCCTGGGTCAGGTCCCAGACCACATGAAGGAAAATCAGGCCCTAAGGGAAGTTGCTCATGGCTAACGCCTCTTACCTTTGCGCATTTTGTAGAAACATGACAACCTGCACACATTTCCCTTCCTGGACCTGGGGAAAGCCCTGATGCTTAGACAGCATTCGGTTCACAATGGGCTGCCTCTGGGTTGAGATCTGAAGGACAGAATGAGGCCTTTGTGCTTCAGATCTCCTGGACTGGTCAGGATAAGGAGACTCGGATGTCACCCCAAGAGACATGGGGGAGCCAGATGGTGGCACAGCAGTAAAAGTGATGATCTATGAGGCAGACCCACATGCAAAGGTTGCCAGTTTTCATCCAGAAGCCTCTCTGAGTATGCCGGGCACATGTGTGCTCATACTCTGGGACTGGCTGAGGCGGGGGGTGGTCTATGATGCAAAGACCTGAATGAGGGTGCAGTCTCTCTGTCTCTCTCTCTCTCTGTCTCTCAGATGCATGGAATAAATAAATACACTTTTTTTTAGAGGTTTTTGCTATAGGGCACATGCGCTTGCCAGAAAGACAGAGAGAGACAGAGAGACAGAAAGCGAGAAATCACCCCTCAGGGGAGATGGCCACACCACAGTCCCTTCTCCTCCATTCTCCTCTCGGGATCTTGGGCATGCAGGCACGCATCCAGCATGAGTTTAAGCCACTGGGTCCAGGACTCGAACTGCAGTCGACTACATGGGAGTCCAGCGACATAGCCATTATGCCAACCGCTGGTCCAATCACCCCACTTTTTAAAAAGTTTTTTGTGTGTGTTTGTTTGTTTTTTCCATAAGCTGCATGTGCTTGCTGAAAATAGACAGAGAGATAGTGAGAGGGAAAGTGATAAATCACCCCCACACACACCGGGGGGACAGCCACACCTCAATCCTTTGTCTTCCATTATCTTCTTGGGATTTTGGGAACCAATACACATTCACCCAGCATGATTTTTAAGCTATTTGGTCCAGGACTCAAACTGCAGTCAGCCCATGTGGGAATCCAGTGCCTTAACCACTATGCCACTTGCTGGCCCCATAAGTAAACTTTTTAAGAGAGAGACATGGGCCCACAGTCAAGGGATGGATCAGGAAAGGGCTGGAGGAGCTCCCAGGGACTGTCGGGGTTCAGGGGACAGCCCTTTCCCCTAATACAAGGGGGCTTCAAAAGGCTCTGGAAAAATGAAATTAAACTAAGAATTTATTTTGGTGTCAAACCCAAACTAAACCAAAGCCAAAGAAAATGATGACATCCATGCATTATTTTTCAAAATACACATTTTCTACAGACTTTCTGAAGACACCCAGCTGTGGGCTTGGGTCAAGGAGGAGCTGGGAGTACATGCATCTAGAACTCGCTCCTCCTCACCCTGTGCTGGAGAGCAGGGAGAAGGCACTAAGTCTCCCTGCTAAGTCTACTGTGTTGGAGTTCAGTGAGGACAGGACTGGGAACAGGACTGACATTCCAGTGGGGGCCCCGAGTTCCTTTTGCCTGTACACCTGCTGGGAAGTTCTAGAGCTCAGGAGCTGGGAGCCAAGAGCCACAATTGGTGTGCAGGTGAGTGAGGCGAGAGCACCCATGGGCTCCCTTACTCTTGCCTGGACATGCTGGGTTCTTTCCCCTTTGCTTATGCTCTTCTTCCTACCTACATGGCCTCCCTCACTGTCAACTCACTGCTTACCTCTCCATCCCTACTTCAGGAAATCTTCCCAGTCTTCCAGGTCTAGGTCAAAGGCCACCACCTCCAGGGGGGCAGCAGAAGACAGGCAATGGAGTAGGGGGATGACAACCAATCTGATAAAAGGCATAGATTCTCCACCTACAAATGCCAGAATACACAATTGTGCATATGATTTCAGAGGTTAGGGACCATCCAAAGCCCACCTATGGGACTCCCAAGCGTCCAGGATTCCAGGTCCAAAACTCTTGGCAGGGTGAGAAGAACTGAATTATAGAGTCAATTGGATTTGTGCTCAGATCTGGACTGCCATTTATTTACAGTGTGGCCCTGAACAAATACTTTAACTTTTCCACATCTCACTTTCTTTACCTAGAAAGTGAGTTTTATCATGCCTACCTCCTGTCTTCCTAAAGCTGTGAAGACCAGATACTGTGATGGACTGGGCTGAGCTGGCCCTGTAGTGCAGTGGTGAAGCCCTGTGCATTGGGAGCCGGATCCCACATGGTCAACTGTGGTTCAAATCCCAGCCCTGGCAGCTAGAAATAAGAAATAATAATTAATAACAATAATGTACTTGCTTGCAGGTACTTGTAGTTTCCTTCTCCTTTTCCTGTCTCTGAAAGAATTTAATGAGCACATACAGGTTGGGGAAGGGAGGGGGCTAAACGGGGGTGGGAGGAAGTGGGAAGGCAGAGACGAGGCACACTCTCTGTGCCCTGCCCTGGCCGCAGCTCTGCTTGTCCCCTAATCTCTCCTCCACTGTCAACCAGGACTCAGCTGGCCTGTCTTATCTCTCCCCACAGCCAGCTTGGGACAGCTTTTCTCAACCAGATTTACATTTTTATTGATTTTCTTTCTCCCTTCCAGAGCAGTCTCTTCCTTCTGCTTCCCATTTGGCTACAAAATGGTTTTACCCTGGGAAACAACAGTTCTGAGCTGGCCAAGAAGCTGACGGTTCAAGGATGGATTCATCCACTATTCATTTATTCATTCATCCATCCATCCATTAGTCCACTCGACCACCCGCTCAGCCAACAACCCTACATGTCTGCTCTATGCCCCCATGCTGGCACTTTGGGGACACAGCCATATGTCGGATACTGTTCTCAGGAAACTCCAGTTATGCAGACAAGCTGACCAACAGTGACAAAAGCCTGAGTGGTTACACAGGAGAGGTTAGAAGAGGAAACTACAGACTCTTCTCGGGGCCATTGGGGAAGGCTTCCCAGAGAAGGGGATGTCAGAACTGGCCTAAAGATTAGATGGGATGTCCCCAGGTGGGAAAAATGGGAATGTGCAGAAGAAACTGCGGGATGAGCCCCGGCATGAGCTCTGTACGGTGACAGAGCAGTGTGGCTGGCATGCATAGCACGTGCGGGGAGTTCAGGAGAGAGAAAACTGAGGCTGAAGACCCATGGGACCAGCTGGAGGCTTTGGATGCCTTCCTGAGGGCAAGGAGGAGCCCTTGAAGCATTGATTGATGGATTATTCCATTGGTCGGTTATTTTAAGCAGGGAGTGACATGACAAGATTTGAAAAGGGCCACTGGCTGCACCATGGGGGTGTGGAGTGGAAAACAGAAGCTGAGGCCAGGAGCTTGGGAGGTGGCAGGTGCACTAATCAAGAGAAGAAGAAGGCCTTGA